TAGTGGCTGTAAATACTTTAGAAGAAAAAATCATGGCTTCCTTCTTGGAGTATGCCTTTTGTGGACGGGCAATTTACCTTTTCCTTTTTTTCTCTGTTTTTTGCGAGTCTAGATTTCTGAGATCTTTTGTGACACTATATGGCTGTTTGTCATTGATGTCTTGTGATAACTGTGATAAAACATTGTTCTGGTTTTAATTGACAAGAGATATGGCAATCTTTTTATGGGCATATTCTAGAAAGCAGGTAACAAACCTCCACGGGGTAGAGAACTAGAGTTACTTTTTTATCAAAGCATTTGGTATTTGCTACTGATTCAAGTTATATTACCCTTAATTATACATTTAAACCTCTTTCATGCAAATTCTTGTGTTTAGACAAGGCTCGGAGGAGATTCTTGACAGTTGTTAATAACCTGATTCTTTGCAAACAACTGCCTTGCTCTACCGCTGTGCATTATGAACTCTTACATTAGATGTTCTCTTTTAAACAGAACTTCTCTACTTTACTCTTCTATACGTGCCAAAATGTTTATATTGGTTAATTCATGTGTTTAATGTTGTCTCTGCAGCTTTACTTCAAAGCAACAGACCCATTCAGTGAGCGGTGGCAGAGTGCTTGGATCATCACTGCTTTCTGGGACATTCTTGCATTTGCATTGCTCTGTGTTATCTGCTATCTCTGGGCACCTTCTCAAAGCTCTCAAAGGTGCAGTGCTGTCTCAATATTTCTTTTGATAATGAAAATCTTTCTCAAGGAGAAAAAAATCAAAGAAAAAAAACTTGTCTCAGTTTGAGAAAAAAGTGCCTCTTTATCAAACTTCTGATGGTCAAGTTGATTATTTGATGCGTTCTCTTCCTTTCAAAATCATCTGGAATAACCATTGAGTTGTCAAATTGAATCTCTGACATTAAACTGGTTTAAGGATGAATTTTAAAGTCTTGCCTTTTGTGGTTCTCTAGATGTTGTTGCTGATTTCAAGTGAGAAGTTTTTCCCACTATTTTTTTTCTTGAAACTCATGATTTTCCACTTTGTATATTTTATGTTCTGACTTTTGCTGGCAACTTTCTTAGGTATGCCTACTCTGAAGAATTAGGAGAAGAATTTGACCAGGAAGAAGCTCAATCTCTTACCCGAGAAAAGCCAGATGGCGACATTAGTTTAGTTGAAAAGAAAGATAAGAGTGCTGGAGGCACTCTTGTTTTTGATGAAGATGGCGAGGCCGAAGAGGATAAGAGAGAGTGATCAGCTGAAAGATTACATTTTAGCAAACCTTATTGAGCAGAGCAAAATCATTCTATCGATTAGAGCTCAGAGGTGATTATCTATCTGTTTTCTGTGCGCTCTGTGAGCAACATCCCTTTCACTTGGTCTCCAGATATCGAAATGTCGCCAGGGTTCTTGTTCCTCTTCACAAGATTAGCATTCTTTTTTCCCCACTGCTGATGCATGGCTAGGGCTGGGCCCGCAAACTGCTATCAGAGATACTGTAAATGCTGGTTTAAAACTACAAATATTGGATCTCCATGCTTAGCTGAAGCGTGTATCATAGTTGATCTACTGACTTGTGATGCTCTAGAAATCCTAGGCATGTAACGTATTTTCCATGTGGTTACGAGATAAACAAGTTTGCACTGTATTTAAGGCGCACAGTTAAATCTTTTGTTTTGTATGGAGATGTTTTTTAAAGTATTTTTTATTTAAAAATATATTAAAATAATATTTTTTTTAAATATTTTTTTATTAAATTAGAATACATCATTTAAAAAAAAAAAAACTTAAAACAAGTGGAATCTAGTTATTGATTAAATAATTAGTAATTGGTTAATTTGGTAGGTTATTGGATAACATGTTAATCTTTTCTAGGTTCAAAACCTGAGCTGTGCTAGCTGATCAATAAATAAATTTATGTGATAATTGAGGATTCCTTGACATTAGGGATAAATGCACATGAATAAATTTACTTGTAGTAATTACATGTTATTTTAAGACACCCATAACCCTTATTAATTAGTTTCTCTAGTTCAATTTCAAGGGGTTAACACTATCATTTTAAGGAAATCTTTTATTAATAACATGGTAGTGGTTGAAAAGTGTTTTTGTAAAAATTAATTTTTTTAAATTTTTTTAAATTTTTTTAATGTGTTTATATAAAAAATAAATAAATTTAAAAAATTATTTTGATGTATTTTCAAGTAAAAACTACTTTGAAAAATAGTCGCTACCACAATACTAAATAAGTTTTTAGCCTCTCTCTCCCCTCCACCACTCGTCTGCTTGGTATTGTTGTTGTAATTGTTTTTCATATTGTCGTTGTAATTGTTTTTTAAAGTGTTTTTGGCTAGAAAATACATCTAAATAATTTTTTATATATTTTTTAAAATTTATTTTTGATATCAACACATTAAAATAATTTGAAAAAATAATTTAAAATTTTCAAAAACTTAATGCTTTCAAAGTTTTACATAACAAATCTAACTTTTAAAAGTTTTATTATTTTCTACCTTTTAGAAATTAGAGGACGAGGGAATTGAATTAACATGAATTTCTTTCCTTGACTAGTTGCTTTTTTTTTTTATTTAACATGAATACATTTTTATTTTAAATTTATTTATCTTGATAGATATATTGTGCATAAGGATGCATAGTGTGCATTTGTTAGATGAAATTTAAAAAATAATTTTTATTAAACAATAAAGAGTATATTTTAATTAATTTATGTGTCATCTGAAATTCGCCTTTTAGACAATCTTAAAGATATATTTCTTAAATCAACTTGATATTGAACTTAATGCTTGAATTTATAAAGTCAAGGAAGGGAGTGGACCTCCTCAACCATCATGACATCTTAATATTTAAATATATAAAATAAAAATACATGTATGTAAATAAAAAAATAAAAAATGTTACACAACTTATTAAAAATAAAACAAAAAATTCATGCATATATTTTTTTAAATAATATTATCTTATTTTTTTTAAAAAAATTTAAATTAACTTAAATCAATTCAATCAACTATACAGTAGGTGTTCGATTGGAGTTGAAGATTAAAGTTTGAGCTTACCTTTCCAAACTCAAAGCAAGTGTAGTCCATGGTGGATGATAATTTTTACTCGAGGTCCATACCATGCAAGATTTCACAATCGAGGCTTTCCAAATATCAGTAGGTTTTTTATTTACACTTCTTGTTTGTTAGAAGGGATTGGAAGAAGAATGAGTGAGAGGGGAGGGATTGCCGAGGAAATATTGAGCATATCCCTTGTTCATCTTCATTTATAATTTTTAATCTTTTTAATTTGGATGAATGTTTCTATTTTTTTAATGTTTTTAATTATGTGAATCCATTTTAATCCTTCTACTTTTTTTAATTAATAAATAGAAAGGTTGTAATTTATCTATACTTTTTTCCCCTGGCTTTATATTTTATACCATTCATCTTTTTGGAGTGTCACAATTTCATTGGAAAACTTATATGGACTAAATGTTGGAAACTTATTTTATTAATATAATATAAATAAATTATGGGTAAATAAAAAATTAATAACAAAGAACTCTTGATTTTTTTTTTGTTAAAGAACACTTAGTTTTTTTAAATTTAATTTTTCACTTATGATGATTAATCAAAAGTTAATAATAAATTTTCAACTCTTTAACTTCCAAGATTCATTGTAAGGGGAAGAGTTTCTAACTTGAATTTTTTAGATTTTACATACCGTTTCTCATCTTGTATTTTAGTGTTTTCTTCTCACTTTAAGTTTTGATTTTTCTTCTAAATCTTAGGATACATATTGTAAATATTCTAATTACACAAGTAAGGAGTAAAAAGCCTTCTAGATAAAATCTTTAACGGGGTTCCTCGTTTTAAGCTGTGCTCCTTTGCATTCAAATATTAATATAACTAGCTGTTGAAAGATTGGTTGAGAGAGGAAGATAAACGATAATGAAAAATACAGAATTTAGATAACTGGAAGAGGGTCTCTGTTTGCGTATACTCTTTTTCTTCTTTTTTGAATGGCATGCGATTTGGCAGAAATCTGTTGGTGGGTTGAATTCAAGTCTCAGGCTGTGAGATTTTGAACTTCCATACTGACAGACTATGTGAGGTTTCATGGAGGGTGAGGATGCCTTCTATAGACCTCTGGTTCAGTAAATGGGAGACAAAAAGAATAAGCTTTGAACTTCATCTGAATTTTGCAAGTTAGTTTGGCTTTTTTCAGTGCTATATTTCTCTTATTTTCCTTGAGCAGCAGTTTGCAACTAGTAGAGCTTAATTATCTTTTAGGCTAATAAACACACAAACACATGGACTGGCCCATGGCATTTGTGAGGATTAGTTATAATGCTTCAGTACACAAGCTGCATTCCTGTCTCTGATCTTAGAAGAGGCTTGTTTCTGGAGATTTTTGCTATTTTTCAATATGCTCCTTACTGCATAGCTCCTTTCAAAGTTGAAGTTGGATAGTGGCTGTAAATACTTTAGAAGAAAAAATCATGGCTTCCTTCTTGGAGTATGCCTTTTGTGGACGGGCAATTTACCTTTTCCTTTTTTTCTCTGTTTTTTGCGAGTCTAGATTTCTGAGATCTTTTGTGACACTATATGGCTGTTTGTCATTGATGTCTTGTGATAACTGTGATAAAACATTGTTCTGGTTTTAATTGACAAGAGATATGGCAATCTTTTTATGGGCATATTCTAGAAAGCAGGTAACAAACCTCCACGGGGTAGAGAACTAGAGTTACTTTTTTATCAAAGCATTTGGTATTTGCTACTGATTCAAGTTATATTACCCTTAATTATACATTTAAACCTCTTTCATGCAAATTCTTGTGTTTAGACAAGGCTCGGAGGAGATTCTTGACAGTTGTTAATAACCTGATTCTTTGCAAACAACTGCCTTGCTCTACCGCTGTGCATTATGAACTCTTACATTAGATGTTCTCTTTTAAACAGAACTTCTCTACTTTACTCTTCTATACGTGCCAAAATGTTTATATTGGTTAATTCATGTGTTTAATGTTGTCTCTGCAGCTTTACTTCAAAGCAACAGACCCATTCAGTGAGCGGTGGCAGAGTGCTTGGATCATCACTGCTTTCTGGGACATTCTTGCATTTGCATTGCTCTGTGTTATTTGCTATCTCTGGGCACCTTCTCAAAGCTCTCAAAGGTGCAGTGCTGTCTCAATATTTCTTTTGATAATGAAAATCTTTCTCAAGGAGAAAAAAATCAAAGAAAAAAAACTTGTCTCAGTTTGAGAAAAAAGTGCCTCTTTATCAAACTTCTGATGGTCAAGTTGATTATTTGATGCGTTCTCTTCCTTTCAAAATCATCTGGAATAACCATTGAGTTGTCAAATTGAATCTCTGACATTAAACTGGTTTAAGGATGAATTTTAAAGTCTTGCCTTTTGTGGTTCTCTAGATGTTGTTGCTGATTTCAAGTGAGAAGTTTTTCCCACTATTTTTTTTCTTGAAACTCATGATTTTCCACTTTGTATATTTTATGTTCTGACTTTTGCTGGCAACTTTCTTAGGTATGCCTACTCTGAAGAATTAGGAGAAGAATTTGACCAGGAAGAAGCTCAATCTCTTACCCGAGAAAAGCCAGATGGCGACATTAGTTTAGTTGAAAAGAAAGATAAGAGTGCTGGAGGCACTCTTGTTTTTGATGAAGATGGCGAGGCCGAAGAGGATAAGAGAGAGTGATCAGCTGAAAGATTACATTTTAGCAAACCTTATTGAGCAGAGCAAAATCATTCTATCGATTAGAGCTCAGAGGTGATTATCTATCTGTTTTCTGTGCGCTCTGTGAGCAACATCCCTTTCACTTGGTCTCCAGATATCGAAATGTCGCCAGGGTTCTTGTTCCTCTTCACAAGATTAGCATTCTTTTTTCCCCACTGCTGATGCATGGCTAGGGCTGGGCCCGCAAACTGCTATCAGAGATACTGTAAATGCTGGTTTAAAACTACAAATATTGGATCTCCATGCTTAGCTGAAGCGTGTATCATAGTTGATCTACTGACTTGTGATGCTCTAGAAATCCTAGGCATGTAACGTATTTTCCATGTGGTTACGAGATAAACAAGTTTGCACTGTATTTAAGGCGCACAGTTAAATCTTTTGTTTTGTATGGAGATGTTTTTTAAAGTATTTTTTATTTAAAAATATATTAAAATAATATTTTTTTAAAAATATTTTTTTATTAAATTAGAATACATCATTTTAAAAAAAAAAACTTAAAACAAGTGGAATCTAGTTATTGATTAAATAATTAGTAATTGGTTAATTTGGTAGGTTATTGGATAACATGTTAATTTTTTCTAGGTTCAAAACCTGAGCTGTGCTAGCTGATCAATAAATAAATTTATGTGATAATTGAGGATTCCTTGACATTAGGGATAAATGCACATGAATAAATTTACTTGTAGTTATTTTAAGACACCCATAACCCTTATTAATTAGTTTCTCTAGTTCAATTTCAAGGGGTTAACACTATCATTTTAAGGAAATCTTTTATTAATAACATGGTAGTGGTTGAAAAGTGTTTTTGTAAAAATTAATTTTTTTAAATTTTTTTAAATTTTTTTAATGTGTTTATATAAAAAATAAATAAATTTAAAAAATTATTTTGATGTATTTTCAAGTAAAAACTACTTTGAAAAATAGTCGCTACCACAATACTAAATAAGTTTTTAGCCTCTCTCTCCCCTCCACCACTCCTCTGCTTGGTATTGTTGTTGTAATTGTTTTTCATATTGTCGTTGTAATTGTTTTTCAGAGTGTTTTTGGCTAGAAAATATATCTAAATAATTTTTTATATATTTTTTAAAATTTATTTTTGATATCAACACATTAAAATAATTTGAAAAAATAATTTAAAATTTTCAAAAACTTAATGCTTTCAAAGTTTTACATAACAAATCTAACTTTTAAAAGTTTTATTATTTTCTACCTTTTAGAAATTAGAGGACGAGGGAATTGAATTAACATGAATTTCTTTCCTTGACTAGTTGCTTTTTTTTTTTATTTAACATGAATACATTTTTATTTTAAATTTATTTATCTTGATAGATATATTGTGCATAAGGATGCATAGTGTGCATTTGTTAGATGAAATTTAAAAAATAATTTTTATTAAACAATAAAGAGTATATTTTAATTAATTTATGTGTCATCTGAAATTCTCCTTTTAGACAATCTTAAAGATATATTTCTTAAATCAACTTGATATTGAACTTAATGCTTGAATTTATAAAGTCAAGGAAGGGAGTGGACCTCCTCAACCATCATGACATCTTAATATTTAAATATATAAAATAAAAATACATGTATGTAAATAAAAAAATAAAAAATGTTACACAACTTATTAAAAATAAAACAAAAAATTCATGCATATATTTTTTTAAATAATATTATCTTATTTTTTTTAAAAAAATTTAAATTAACTTAAATCAATTCAATCAACTATACAGTAGGTGTTCGATTGGAGTTGAAGATTAAAGTTTGAGCTTACCTTTCCAAACTCAAAGCAAGTGTAGTCCATGGTGGATGATAATTTTTACTCGAGGTCCATACCATGCAAGATTTCACAATCGAGGCTTTCCAAATATCAGTAGGTTTTTTATTTACACTTCTTGTTTGTTAGAAGGGATTGGAAGAAGAATGAGTGAGAGGGGAGGGATTGCCGAGGAAATATTGAGCATATCCCTTGTTCATCTTCATTTATAATTTTTAATCTTTTTAATTTGGATGAATGTTTCTATTTTTTTAATGTTTTTAATTATGTGAATCCATTTTAATCCTTCTACTTTTTTTAATTAATAAATAGAAAGGTTGTAATTTATCTATACTTTTTTCCCCTGGCTTTATATTTTATACCATTCATCTTTTTGGAGTGTCACAATTTCATTGGAAAACTTATATGGACTAAATGTTGGAAACTTATTTTATTAATATAATATAAATAAATTATGGGTAAATAAAAAATTAATAACAAAGAACTCTTGATTTTTTTTTTGTTAAAGAACACTTAGTTTTTTTAAATTTAATTTTTCACTTATGATGATTAATCAAAAGTTAATAATAAATTTTCAACTCTTTAACTTCCAAGATTCATTGTAAGGGGAAGAGTTTCTAACTTGAATTTTTTAGATTTTACATACCGTTTCTCATCTTGTATTTTAGTGTTTTCTTCTCACTTTAAGTTTTGATTTTTCTTCTAAATCTTAGGATACATATTGTAAATATTCTAATTACACAAGTAAGGAGTAAAAAGCCTTCTAGATAAATGAGTCATTCCTGATTACAATTAAAGATTTATTATTTTAAAGTGCTTCAACGAGTAAGTACTCTTCTTGTTTTGATTTAAGTATAATTAATTTTATTATTAATATGCACGACAGGAATTTGATTTTTTATCGATTGCAAGTTTGAATATATGTGAAGGATGCATGCTATAATATTATTTTAAATATATTTGTTTTGAAATCATGTTTGCCATGATTTATTAGTTTGCTTGTTTGTAGATTTAGACTTGTATAGACACTAGGTTTTCCTTGAAAATATTTTTATGTTTACCATGTCTTTTTCTGATAAACTAAACATTCTTGCTCACTATTCTATTAATCTAATATATATCTACAAACTTTGATTTATAATTTTAAGGCTTCACATACACACAAATTAAACTTTGTGTTGCAACTTAGTTGGTTATGTTATGTATAGTTCAATCAAGAGTGAAAAAACACTATTAGAAGCTTTAAATAAAAAATATAAAACTAAAGATGTTGATATGAAGAAATTCATAGTATTTTTTTTTTTATATTTCAAGATGGTTGATTCAATGACAATAATGATCTAAGTTCAAGAGTTTTAGCTCATCTTACATGATATAAATGTTGAAGGTATGTCTCTAAGTCATTTCAAGTGGCTGTCATCATTGAAAAATTATCATCTTAGTAAAAAGACTTTAAGATTTATCTTAAGCATAAGCGTAAGGAGATAAGAATTGAAGACCTCATTTTGAGATTAAGAATAGAAAATGACAATAAGTTGTCTAAAAAGAGAGCTAACTTTTCTAGTGCCCTAGAAAAAAAAGTAGTGGAAAAAGTAGTAAAGTTTCACAACAAAAATCAAAAGAAAAAACTTGTTGTGAAAGGAAAAGGAATTATCAATAAGTTCAATGACAAGTGTGTTATCTAAAATAAAACTAGGCATTTGTCTAGAGATTGTAGAAATAAAGGTTAGCTTGGAAACCTTAAGAAAAGGATTGCTTAAGTCAAAGTCATAAAGGTTGATCATCTCATTAATGAAATTTCATAAATGAACCTGTTTTGTGTTGTTTTTGAAGTTAACTTAATTAACAATCCTAATCAACCTTCAAGTTAGTAGAAGTTGGAAATGTTATACTAAAATAATCTCTGAAAAGCTTCTTACCATCAATAATGCATTGCATGTTGCTAACATTATAAAGAACATAGTCGGCTTATTATTGAGTAAAAATAATTTTAAGATGGTTTTTAAAAGTGATAAATGTATACTCATTAAGAGTGGTATATTTGTAGAAAAATGGTATTTCAAAAATGACTTCTTTAAAACAAATGTAATGACCATTGTAACCATTAATGAAATAATAATAAGATTGCCTCTTCTTCTTATTTGCTTAAATCTTGTGATGTGTGGCATGATAGGTTAGATCATGTAAATTATAATTTTATGTAAACGTTAATAAACCATGAATTATTACTAAGAATGATTTTTGAGAAAAATCATAAATGTAAAATTTATGTAGAATTAAAATTCACAAAACCTTCTTTTAAAACAATAGAAAGAAGTAGTGAACCTCTGCACTTAATTCACTCAAATATTAGTGATTTAAAGTTTGTGTATACAAGAGGTGAAAAACAACTATCATGTTACTTTTATATATAATTGCGCAAGGTATTGTTATATCTATTTGCTTAGGAGAAAAGATGAAGCTCTTTAAATGTTTAAACATTAAAAAAATAAAGTTGAAAACTAACTTAACAAGAAGAGAAAGATAATAAAACCAATTGAGGTGAAGAATACGAAGCACTATTTGACGAATTCCATTTCCAAAATAGTATTATCCATCAAACCACTACTCTTTATTCATTATAGTAAAATAACATTGTGGAATATAAGAACAAAAAATTAAAAGAAATGATGAATGTCATGTTGATAAGTTAAAAAATCTAAAAAATTAGGGGGGAGATAATCTTAATTGCTAATTGCATACTTGACAAAGTACCCTATAAAAGTTATAAAAGATACCATATAAATTATGGAAAGATAAAAGATCTTCCTATAAATGCCTTAAAGTATGAGGTTGTCTCGCAAATGTAGTAATACTTGATCATAAAAAGGTCAAGATAGGGCTTAAAACCGTGGAGTATGTATTTGTTGAATATGCAAACAATAATAGTACATATCAATTTCTTATACACAAGTCAAGTATTGAGGATATTTATCATAATATTATAATGAAATCAAGGAATGTTACATTATTTGAAGATGTGCTCTATTGAAAGAAACAAGAGAAAATTATTCACATAAAAGAACATTAAGGACATCTTAAGTAATTATCATAAATTAGGAGATGATAAAGTTGAGTTTAGAAAAAGTACAAGTGAAAAAATGACCAAAATGTTTGGTCTTAATTTTTTTAACATACTTGTTTGAAAATAAACCTCGAACTTACTCCAATGTAATGTCCTTTTTGGAAGCATCATATTGAAAGAAGATAGTCAATAGTAAAATTGAGTCCATTATGAATAATTATACACGAAAACTAGTGGATTTTATTCTTGAAAGTAAATTATAAGACCATAAGTGAATCTTTAAAAGAAAAAAGAAATTTGATGCACTGTTGAGAAATATAAAGCTAAATTTGTTATTAAAGGTTTTAGACAAAAAGAAGGTGTAGACTATTTTGACACATATTCATCTTTGTCAAGAATAATTTCTATATAAACAGTAATAGTCATTGCAACTATTAACAAGCTTGAAATACATCAAATGGATATATATATATATATATATATATATTAAAATGGTGACTTTGAAGAGAAGATTTACATAAAACAACCTAATGAGCATGTTGTCGACGG